TTCTAAACCTCTTTTCAGGGTGTCAAATTTGCACATGAATTCCAGCTCAGCAGTGTCTCGTTGCAGTCTTTGAAGTGTTTTTGCTTGAGAATGGCAACTTGTAAGTAGGAAACTGTGTATCCAGGGAGGTTAAATAGCACTCCCCCCCCCCCCAGTTTCTGTATGTTGCTGATCTTAATGTCTGATTTGTATCCATTTATTCTTTTGCATAGAGACAGTATGGTCTGTTTGATGTACATGGCAGAGGGGTATTGTTGGCACATGATGGCATATATTACATTAGTGAATGTGCACATGAATGAGTCTTTGATTGTATAATTGATGTGATTAGGTTCTGTGATGGTGTCAGTAGGATAGATGTGTGGACAGAGTTGGGGTTTGTTCCAGAGATTGGTTCCTGGATTAGTGTTTCTGTTGTGAGATGTGAAGTTGGGGGTGAGTATTTGTCTCAGGTTGAGGGCTGTCTGTAAGCATGGACTGGCCTGCCTCCCAAGGTCTGTGAGACTAAGGGATCATCATCCATGATAAGTCGTAGATCCTTGATGTTGTGTAGGAAAGGTTTTAGCTGGGGGCTGCAGGTAATAGCTAGTGATGTTTTGTTGCCAAAAGGGTTTAAGCAGCATACATTATTATCTCTCACAATTTCCAAAGAATTTTACAAATATACCAGTTTACATCATGATTGCCTCCTCATCACATAATATTTCATGTGAAAAGAGAAGAGAAGTTTCCAGGTAACCTTTGTTATCAGCATTTTAAATGCTTTACAGTTCTGCTTTGAAAACAATATCCTAGAGCTTAATGGAATAAATTAACTCAGCTGGACTAAGTACACTAAGAAGAAATATGAGTGAAAGGTTTCAGTTAGGCTTTTACATGTCTTGAAAGGTAACACATAATAAATCAGAAAGTAATTTTTCACTAATTCCCATTTTGTCTTCCATGCCTTTATTCAAAACATTTTGATGAGAATACAATTGCAGCCACCCTCCTCCAAAATACGGATGTATTTATTGTAAAAACTAGGTTATAAAAATGGCACATTAATTCATAGTTTATAATACGATAACACTTTTGATTATTACTATAGAGTCTATGAATTGGAACCTGTGAGTGGGGTGATTAAGATTCTGAAAGGGGTATTTTTCCAAATGAGTCCATGAAAAAAAAACCCTCATTTTGCTTGTGGGCAATTAGAAACATGTGGCAGGTTGAGGTTTAGGAGAACTATGGAGGAATCAAAGCGGGTAAAAATTGGAAAAGAGTTTTCAAGAGACTTTAGAATCAGAGGTATAAAACTTCAGAGAACTGCAAAAAAAAAAAAGTTTATTAAGTTGGAAGGATAAGTTTGTGTACAGACTAATGCAAAGATGTGTCCCGTAGTTGCCAATCTGTTCACTGAAATATGAACAATGAATCATCATCATTCTATTAATTGTTGGCTAGCAGTTTATTGAATTCAAAGGAGAGATAGTTATGCATAAAGGGATAATTGTCTCTTCACTTACATAATACCTCCCAGATATTCCAGGACAAAAAATTTTGAGACTCAACAATAAGCATAGAAGAAACATATAATTAAAAAAATTGCTTCAAAGTCATTTGATTCTTCCTTGTTATTCTACAATTTAGTTATATACTGTCTGCTTTTCACACAATTAATAGGATAACTGGTGGGTCGGACATGAAGAATTTATGTGGGAAGAATCATTAACATCATTAGTGCAGGAACTAAAAGAGTATATGGGGTGCTACAGCAACACTGGGCTCCAAGCCTAGTGTACAAGGTCCTGGTTGCTTCCTCCTGCACTGTGGGCTCTGCTGCCAGCACTGCACCTGGGGACCCAGCTGCTGCCCTGTGCACCACGGGGCTTTGTAGCTGGCTCCAGGCCTGGTGTCCCAGTTTCCTGGTCTCCTGAGCAACCAGTGTGCCCATCTCAGAAAACAAAACATCTCTGAGTATGTTGTCATTGGTTTGCTTGCTGTTGTATCATGCAAGCCAGGTAGTAACAAACTTCAACAGGCCTTTACTTACCAAAGGTGAAACCTCTTTTACAAAGCTGCTGCTGCTCCCCTCTATAGCTCTCACTCAGGCCTGGCCCAACTCCTCGCCCCTCCTTCCTGTTTCCTGTGCTTCCAGATTCCCAACAGCCAGTGCTCCCAGTTCTAATAATTACAAGCAGCATCTAAAACACCACACTTGCTTGATTCAGCAAGTTCTTTTACAGGATGACATTCCTCTTTCAGAGTTCAGGAGCCAGGTCATTAGCCCCGCAAAGTCTCCTTTTCAAAGTGCCATTTCCCACAGCGTAGCATATTTTTGATCTGCTGGAGATATGAAGTGGTGTGTTTTCTAATAATGGAGCATACTCTTCTCTAGTATTACCACTAAAGAACCAGCACACGTTATGTTAGCCATGCTAATTTGTACCAGAGGCTGAATCAGTTTCCCAGTGGGTCTGGGACTTTGGAATGTGGGAGAAGGAAAGCCATCTCTGTCCTTCCTCCATCGTGTGTTCCAAGAGCTGATCCAGTGCACCTGGAGATAAAGCTCAAGCTAATCAGCTTTTTATTTGCTTACTGTACATAATGATAATACCCTATTAGCACAGTTTTAGAGATTATCTGAATTAAATCAATACTATGAAACTAATTCTGCTTTCAGACCAGCTGTGCAATCCCCAACACATCTTTATATCTGAGAAAAGATTTGGGCAGAGACAGATTTTGTCATCTACATAGTGCCTGCTCCTACTTTTGAGGCTTAAGATTCCCCATTTAACTCAGAGGCTTTGCTCAGAACATTTTACACTGGAATAACTCTTTTGATGTCAACAGAGTCATTCTCAATTCATACACACACATTTGTGTGTATTATGAGAGCAGAACAAGTGGACAAGTTGCACTCTTTTTAAATTAAAACATTATGCATAACAAGAGAATGAACTTACACTTTCTCAACAGAAATTTCAGAACCAGTTTTTTTTCCCAAAGAATTTCCACAGAATAGTGTATTGATTTTCTATTTATTACAATCAGGGTAACTTGATTATAATACTTTATTTGGAACATCTGTTCTCTGAGCTGTCACGACACATACCAGTCAGAGTGCATGCTCATAGATAAATCATTGTTTATGTGATTATTATACTAGCTTCTGTATTCACAAGATTATTAAAAATATAAAATAGATATCTAAGTTAGAAACAACAATCCCTGCCCTCTTATATGAATTCAAAAATTCAAATAAATATCTGGTTACAAAATAAATTTGAAAAAAATAGATCTACTGTAAATATACCAGTTAACTTGTAGGAGGACTCTCTCTCCATGGAGTTTCCCCTGGGTAAACTAAAGCAACAGTGTATCTAGATATAAAAATCTGAAGAAGTAAACAGGTGGCATCAGCAAGGAGCCTATCATATATATACTTAAATCTTATTTTAGAAAAATTAATAGCATTATTAGTGCCTTCCTGTAAGGCCCTGATTTTTTACCATAATTATTACTTAACATACTTCAGATCTCTGTAGCCCATGGAGGCATTGCACTCCCAGACCTACAAAATCACAATTATGCTTTTAGCTATGTTACAAGTATCAAACCATTTCCAATATGCTAACATCCTTATACCCACAATGGTAGAAAATGAATGGATAGTAATTCATTCTATTCCCCTTGCAGGTCTCCTCTTATTTTTTTTTGTCCGAGGGAGAAAAACATGATGCATATAGCAGTGGCTACGCAAAAGGTCTTAGCTAAGAGGTTTCAATTTCAACCTTGCAATTATGCAAAATCAACTACCCAAGGTAACCCAGATTTGCAAGTTAGGAACAAAGCTATAATTTGAAAAAACTGGCTGGAATGGCAGTGCTTACTACTAAGATACTTGCTAACCTATAAGCTTAGTCTGGGTGCCCTAAGATTGCCAGAGGACCCATAACTAATGAAAACATTTTAAATGCATCCCAAGTATCACATGCCCATGTTCATTGTGTATACATTGCTAATGAAAAGGAATCTCATTAATTTTATGTTCTTCATTAAAATATGGGAAGGAAACATCATAGCTTTTAAAAGAATTCAAATGGCAGAGCATGTTACATAATGTTAAAACATGCCTTTGTGGATATCAGCTATGTTTGATACAATAAAAGAATATATTGGGACACCAAAGAAGTTGTACAAGATAAAGGCTATATTTTCTGATGTTAGTTGGCACTGTAACAACAAGGAATCCTGATGCATATACTATGGTACTGTCAAATATTTAGGCAGCTGTGAAACAAGGTGGACTCATAAGTTAAAAAGACTGCCCAGCTTTCAGCAGATAAACCTCATCCAAAAATTATATGCTATATTCTTCTATAAACTGGGTATAACTGCCTCAAAATCTTTGTTTCTTGACTGCTGCAAAGGTCACTATTTTCATGATTTTCCAAAAATGGAATAGTAGGCTTATGCCTAAGAAAAGATCAATAGCATTATGATATGTCAGATTTAACAGTCAATGAAAGAATTACTATTGCTGTGGATACCAATTATGTGAATGAAGAAATTTGGACCCCATTTCTACATAAATTATGTTGAAATAGCTTAGAGAATGTCAGATTTCCATTTAATCTAACCTATTCTCCCCTCACCATTTGAATTCCTCTCCTTCCCTTCTCTGCCTGTTCATGTATATCTTCTCATTTTTTATTACTGTTATCCCCCACCCCAACTTTCTATATAAATGTAATATTGCTGCTTTGAGAAGTTGTGAAATTGCATACATCCATAATTCTACTGATGATCCAGTGAAGCATTCAGTATTTCCAAACACACAAAAGCAGTAAATCATGTACATTCATGTATTCTTCATTGTCTGTTTCTTTATGAACATCAATTTTATAAAAATCACAAAAACAGACACGGGATATAATTGTCTAAAAGGTTCTATTTGTTACACTTATTTTAGCAGTACAATGGCTGCTGTAATTAAGTAATTTATTACTTACCCCTGTTCTTTGAACTTCCAAGAAAATTGCTCTTTGAAATGATTTTTCCCATGCCACAAGCTCACTGCCCAGCTCTACGTTAAAAGAATGACTCTTGCCATGTCCAACCATGACACTGAAACAATATGGCCTCTGGTCTTCAAACGCATAGTCCTGATGAATACCTAAATATAAGTTTGCTTGTAGCCAGCAATCATCAGCAAGCCAGAGCTGAAAGACATGTTTTAGTTGGTGACATTTCAGTTAGTAATAAGCAAATGATTAAGGCATGTTCTTATGTCTTCAGCAAGTGACTTAGAATTGGAATTACTGCTCTCAGTTCTGTTACTAATTCACTGCCAATTTAAACTCTTTTGTGTCTCAGTTAACCTGCCTATAAAACTGGTATATTAATATTTACCTTCCTTCATACAATGTCATGAGAATCAGTTAATGTTTTTAAAGGCTACTACAGGTTGTACCTTCCTTAACCAGGACTCCCTGGCCTGGTAACATTCATGGTCCAGCATGGACCCACGGATGTTCCTGGACCACAGAGCCCAGGAAGAGGGAGGTCTGGCAGTAGGGCAGGAGTGCTGTAAGTGGCACCAGTGGCTTAGCTGGGAGCCCAGAGTGTGTGTGTGAGGGTGGACAGTATGGCAGGGAATTCTGGCTCCAGCAGAGCTCCCTGACTCCAGAGGTTGGGGAGCTCTAGCCTGGCTCTGGCCATGGGCCTCCAGCCATGGCCAGGGAGCTCTGACCCCAGTGACAGCCAGGGAGCTCTGGCCCCATCCCCGGCTGCAGAGCCCTGGCCATGTTCTGCCTCCAGTGGCTGGGGAACTCCAGCTCCAGTCCCAGCAGTAGCCAGGAATCTCGGGCCCAGTCTGTGAGGCTCCGTCCCCGTCTTTCCACCCTAGCCCCAGAGCTCCAAACCCAGCCACTGAGCCCTACAGCTGCTCAGAGGGCTGAAGCAGCATTGAGGGCAGGCTGGAGCTCTAGGCACGGCCACGAGGGGAGGGACCTTCCCTGATCTGGCAAATCCCCTTGTTTGGGACCAATCATGTCCTAAAGGTGCCTGGCCAGCGAGGTCCAACCTGTACTCTCAGATCTTTTCATTCACTGACTCTTAACAGATGAGGCCACGTCTATTTCTGTAATTTAATCTAATCAAGGCATGTCTACAATTTGCTAAATACTAATATAAGCAATGCAAAGTCAGCTATTAAAAATAGCAAACTGTTATATTTAAATTAAAGGGAATCAAGATTTCCATGTGAAGTTGGCGTGAGGAAGAAAAGATGGTGTCTGGGAGAGAGACCTAAGACTTCCTGAAGTGTTTTAAATAAAAGCTCCATCAGAGAGCTGGTGACTACAACTTCATTTCTCAAAGAGAGCTTCAGAAGCCTAGATAGTGAATCTAAACTCTGGGACTCCAAGCTGGAGTCTATTACTATTACTATTATCAGTAATGGTGGGAATATTTTTTCATATGCTCATAGGCATCTACTTAGAAAGGAACAGTATGTATACTTGTGTTTACTTTACATATATGCATATGAATTCATGCTTTTTTAACAATATGAACAAACCTTTCAGGTGAATACATTTTTAATATTTAAGTCATGCCTTTTAGGTTTAACAGTCTGTCCCCCCTAGTGGTGTCCAGATAATCCTGAGATTGCTGAATCTGCTTCAGCCAAAGCCAATACAATGAGCCTTCTGGCTCAGACAGTGAAAACATGCATTAAAACTCAGACATCTCTGGTTTGATTCCTGTTGCTGACAAACTATCTGGGGTGTCAATGGGACACATGCTGGCCCATGTGGGGAACTGAAATTCCCTCTGAAGCTCAGAATGAACAGTGCTTGCAAGGGAAAGAATAATATGTAAGGCATGCCTGCATGGTATGGCACTCAGTCCCACCCTAGTATTGGTCAACTAGTGATTTAGGAGCTTGTAAAGTGAGGAGCTCTTTTAGATGTTTGTTTATCAAGCACCAAAACACTTGTTGCCAAGGGTTTCAGCACCGCAGTTCAAAAAATCTTTCAAATATATGAACTCACCTGATGGACTAAATCAGATAATGGCAACTTTTGGTTGAAGCGCCTAACTGAAATATTTTATTTATGAGCTTACTTCGCATATTCTGAATACCATTTTTAAAGCAGGATTCCTTTGAGCTAATAATCAGATTTGAAAATAATCTCTTGATATTCATCCTTTAAAGTTAGTAGAGTTTTAACATGGATAAATGTAAGCTAATTATTTATTTTGTCACATCAATCAATGTGATTTATCTGTTACAGAAACTTTGTATGCATACAATTTTTAAAAGTTTTAAAAGTAAAACCAATTTAAAAAAAAAAGCCTCATGGAACAACAAAAAATCTCTGCAATTGAAAGTACTTTTGGGAACTTAAATGAACTCTATCTTACTTAAATTATGCCTTGCAGACACTGTACCCTGATGTGAAAAATAGAAATACTTAAAACAGAAAATCAAATGAGTTTCTTTCATTTTGCAATCTAAGTCCAATCATGTAGTACTCAAAGGTGATATACAGTGGAATTTGCTTATAATGAACTCAGCTATACTGATACCTATGTTTACAGTGAAACAAGGACAAATTCCTGAGTTACTTAAATGCATTTCAGCTGACTTACATTCATTTTATAGTGACACTTCACTACTTATTATATAAGATCTCTTTCCTTTATAATTGGGTTTCACTCTGCTATGCCCATGGGAATGCAGCAATTTATCATGGGCTAATGCTAGGAATGACAGTAGGGTATTGCAAAGGTCCTCCAGAGCAGCAAGTGCTGTTCTGAAACTGGACAGCATGAAGTAATACCCCACCATCAATCCAGTGTCTCCTTACAGTGAAGATTTTAGTGAACAAAAATACTTCATTACAAGAAATTTCCACTTAGATCAGTTGGTTATTGTTTGATAAACATACAGTGAAAAACAAAGCTAGATTAAAAGGCTACTATTAATGCCCATCTTCAATGATTTTAAATACATAAGGACTTTCAGTAAGTAAATCCCCAAATGGCAGTTTTTAAAATTTTATTTACCAGTTTGAGATCATATTAATGTTATCGATTTCTTGATTTTTGTAATTTCCATTTGATGACATGGGGCATAGAAGATGGGAAAAGTAGACAGGTATTTGCAAACAAGATATAATTTTTTTCCTCCTCCCTTCAAGACTGTAGGTTAGTGTGTGATAGAAGATAAAAGTTCCAGCCAGTTTTTGGGGGGGGAGTAGTCAACCCTTAAAAAATAATAACCATATCCCATTTGACATCTCTCATCGCATAGAAAGTCAATTTTATAAATATTTCAGAGATTTTTAATTGTAAGACTTGCATAAATTAACTCTGTGCCAGCTTCTCCTGTCAACCCCAGGAATAGTGGATATTGTAGAGGATGTATCAGAGGCAAGGGAAGGCAGAACTAGAGTCCACTCTGCTCCAGGGATTCTGAGAGCAGAACAATCCATGGGATCCATTCTAGCTATAGAAACAGAATCCTAAAGCTGCTGTAACTGACATCCAGCTGCTCCTTAGGACTGGAAATTTGGTGGTGAGAGTGAAAAGTAGAAAAGAAATATGCCCATGTCTTCTCCTGTGCCTGAGGATTTGGACCCCAGATTTATCTCTGCAAAGTCATGAGTTATGGACTGTCATAAGAATGGCCACTCTGGGTATGGCCGAAGGTCCATCTAGTCCATTATCCTGACTTCTGACATGGCCAATGCCAGATGCCCCAGAGGGAGTGAACAGAACAGGTAAACCTCAAGTGATTCCTCTCCTCTCATCCATTTCCAGCCCCTGACAGAGACACACCATTCCTACTCATTCTGGCTAATAAATATTGATGGACCAAATTTCCATGAATTTATCTAGTTTTTTTAAACTCTGTTAAAGTCCTAGTCTTCAAAACATCCTATGGCAAGAAGTTCCATAGGTTGACTATGTGCTGCATGAAGAAAAACTTCCTTTTGTTCATTTTAAACCTGCGACCCATTAATTTCATTTGGTGACCCTTAGTTCTTATGTTATTGGAACAACTAAATAACTTTTCCTTATTTTCTCCATACCTGTCATGATTTTATAGACCTCTATCATATTTCCTCCTAGTCTCCTCTTTGCTAAAAAGTCCAATTTTTAAAAATCTCTGTACATATGGCACTCATTCCAAAACACAAATCATCTTTTTTGAACCTTTTCCAATGCTAATTGGAATGAGTTCACCATATATGTACTCAGTATTCAAGATGTGGGCGTACTATGGATTTATAACACGGTAATCATGTATTCTCTGTCTTATTGTCTATCCCTTTTTAATGGTTCCTAACATTCTGTTTATTTGACTGACACTGCACAGTGAGTGGCTGTTTTCAGAGAACTATGCACAGTGACTCCAAGATCTCTCTCTTGAGTAGTTATAGCTAAATTAATTCCCATCATTTTGCATGCATAGTTGGGATTACTTTTTCTAATGTGCATTACTTTCCATTTATGAACATTAATATTCATTTGCCATTTTATTGTCCCAATCACCTAGTTTTCTGAGATCTTTTTGAAGTCATTTCAAGTCTGCTTTGGTCTTAACCATCTTGAGCAGTCTAGTATCATCTGCAAATTTTGCCACCTCACTGTTTATCCTTTCCTCTAGATCACTTATAAATAATTAGAATATGACTGGTCCCAGGACAGACCCTTGGGGGACACCACTAGTTACCGCTCTGTAATCTGTAAAGTGACCATTTATTCCTACCCTTTGTTTCCTGTCTTTTAACCAGTTATCAATCCATGAAAGAATCTTCCTTCTTATCCCATGACAACTTATTTTACTTAAGAGCCTTTGGTGAGGGACCTTTTCAAAGGCTTTCTGGAAACCTAAGTACACTGTATCCTCTGGATGCCCCTTGTCCACATGCTTGTTGAGCCCCCTCAAAGAACTCTAGTAGATTAGTAAGGCATGATTTCCCTTTCTAGAATCCATGTTAACTTTTACCCAACAAAGTTTGTTAATCTATTTGTCTGACATCTCTATTCTTAACTATAGTTTCAACTAATTTGCCCTATAGTGATGTTAGACTTACTGACCTTTAATTGCCAGGATAACATATAGATTCCTTTTGTAAATATTGGCATCACATTAATTATCTTCTAATAATTAGTTATAGAAGTTGATGTAAAGGATAGGTTACAAACC